GCCTCATTACAAAGGAAGAAGGGATACTTGATGAATACAAAAAGTAGAAAAAGCCAGGAATCTAGAAATTAGGAGATGTAAATTCAATTCTCACAGTGGCTCAGTCACTAACTAGCAATGTAGCCTTGGGCAAGTCACTTCCTTTTTGTGGGGCCTCAGTTTCTTACAGTAAAACGATTTGACATTATGGTCCCCCTGGTCCCCTCGAAGGTTCCTTCTGGGAATGGTAATATTCTATTTAGGCCATGCCACATTCAACTTTACTAAACAAAGACTGCACTATTTACATATTGTGTAATTCATACACAAATATGAATTAAGTTAGTGCTTTATCACCCAGAAAAAATTAAACCTTTTGTATTAACAAAAAATTTCAAACTCACATTAGAAGTAGTAAAGGAATAAATACAATGAACTCCCATGTACCACTTAGCTTAAACAACTATCAACAAAATGCTATAAACAATTCCACCTAACATATTTATTTGTTCTTGTAAATACTCCAGGATGAATCTAAGAGTTAGGCGTTTTTTGTTTTTGTTTTTTAATCTAACCATAATAGCATCATCACATCTAACAAAATTAACAATATGCTTAATAACATCTAATAGCCAATCCATGTTCAATTTCCTCAACTGTCTTTTTACAATTGGTTTATTTAAACCAAGTTCCACACAAGGCTCCTCAACCCCATACCTACTTTTGGTGGATGGTCCATATGTGTCATACGTTTTTTTAATATATAACAGACTCCCTCTGTTTTTTTTATTTTTACACTATTTACTTGTTAAAGAAATTGGATCATTTTGTCTAATGGAATTTCCCACATTGTGTTTGGCTGACTGTATCCTAGCCAACAAATATTTTTTTTAAACGTATGTTAATTTTGCTCCTCAGCTAGACCCAAGCTCCTTTAGGGAAGAACCACATATTATTTATATCTTTTGTATTCCCACAGAGCCTAGCCATATTGGATCAAATCTTGGCTCATTAAAGTTAGACAGTCTGGTCTAAACATGATGAATAATTTTAGAAAAAATTTTAGGGTCTTTTAAAGTTCTTTAATTTTGTCAATGGGGCTTAAAATCGAAAGAGGAATGTTACTCTTTTAAGTTCATAAAATCACAGAACTTTAGCATCTGTAGGGAAATGATAAAAATCAAATGTCTTCACTTTACTGAAAAGAAAACTAAGTTTCAGAAAGCCTGTGACTTGCTGTAACCACACGCTCCAGTATGGGCAAATAGCAGACCAGACCCAGGATTCTGAGATCTAAAATTTGATGCTCTGCTCTTTCTGCTACATCAAATCAATGTGGGAAACAGTTGTAGCACAACTGTTGTAGTTGTAGGCTTCAAATTGAGAACTGAGTAAATAGAAGGGAACACATCTTAAACACTAGGCATATCTGAATCCAAACTATTCTAGAAAGACTAGCTTTGTATTTGGAAAGTGCATTCTTATCCTTAACCACATCAAATATTAAAGGAAATCTTAGAGCTAACTGAAGTTCTATCCGTCTCTTTCATTTTATAACACCTCTTTTGTTCTCTAAAACTAGAAGCATGCACATGGACATATATAACAAGTAAATAAAAATGATTTTTCTAAGGTCTAGTAATAATCATTTCAGAATTCATGTGACATGTAATTCAGGAAAAAAGGAAAAATGATCAAGTTAGAAAACCTCTGATGCAATACTTACTACACATTGGTTTTTATCTCACACAGAAATATTACCTCAAATAAGCTATAACACATAGGGGAGCAAATTTAATCTAATTTAAATGCAAAAATTATAATATATACATATCTCGTTACAATTTAAGAAATTTTCCTACCATAAGACCTATAAAACAATATCTCATTTTTAAAAGACCACTTCAATCAGAAAGTTTATTGTGAAAACCCGGTTTACAAATGAACAATCTCTGCAGCACTTCTACATTAAGAAGTTTTAGAGAAACTACCAGTGATAACAACAATGGTAACATGAGTGTAATTTTAATATGCCCTTTTAAAACAAATAGAAGGCCTTAAAAGAAAAAGCCAATCAAAATAAGTAAAAATTGAAATTTGGACCTGACCAAAATTTTATTTTTCTGGGAATGATTCTGGGAAGAGGATAAAATGACAAGCTACAGAATGGGAAAAAATATTTGCAGATCAATATCTGACAAAGGACTAGTATCTAGGCTGTGTAAAGAAGTCTTAAAACTCGACGCCTAGGTGGCTGAGCTGGTTAAGCTTCTGACTTCAGTTCAGGTCATGATCTCATGGCTTGTGAGTTTGAGCTGTCAGAACAGAGCCCGCTTCAGGTCCTCTGTCTCCCTCTCTCTCGCCCATTCCCCGCTGGTGTTCTCTCTCTCTCTCTCTCTCTCTCTCACACACACACACAATAAACAAACAAACAAACACACTTAAAAAAAAAAAAAATCTTAAAACTCAACAGAAAAAAAACCCAGTGAGAAATGGCCACGAAACATGGACATTTCACCAAAGAAGATACACAGATGGCAAATAAGGACATGAAAAGATGATCAACATTTTTACTCACCAGAAAAATACAAATACAAAAACCACAACACAATATCACTGTCCTATCAGAATGGATAAAATAAAAACAGTAAAAATGCCAAAAGCTGGCAAAGATACAGAGAGATCAGATCACTTATACATTGCTGATAGGAACCTAAACTAATACGTCCACGCTAGAAAACACTTTGAGAGTTCTGTATAAAGAAGAGCAAACAATTACTATTTGATCCATTAACTGGATTTGGGGGCATTTATCCCAGAGAAATTAAACCTTTATGTTCACATAAAAAACCTGCACATAAATGTTTATAGCTGCTTTCTGCATAATAGCCAGAAACTGAAGACAGCCCAGACAGCCTTTAACAGGTGAGTGGTTTAGACAAACTATGGAACATCCATACCATTGAACACTACTCAGCAATAAAGACAAACTCCTGATACAGATAACAATTTGAATGCATCTTCAGGGAATTATGCTGAGTGAGAAAAAGCCAATCTCAAAAGGTTTACATATTATGTGATTCTATTTATATAACATTTTTGCAGTGACAAAATTTTAGAAATGGAGAATAGTGAGGGAAATAGCAGGACGGAGGGAGGTGTGTTTGCCCTCAGGTAACTTACATCTTGTCAAACAGGACAGGAACCCAAACACACGTAATACAAGGTAGAATATTTATTTATTATTTTTTTTTTTATTATTTTTTTTTCAACGTTTATTTATTTTTGGGACAGAGAGAGACAGCATGAACAGGGGAGGGGCAGAGAGAGAGAGGGAGACACAGAATCGGAAACAGGCTCCAGGCTCTGAGCCATCAGCCCAGAGCCCGACGCGGGGCTCGAACCCACGGACCGCGAGATCGTGACCTGGCTGAAGTCGGACGCTCAACCGACTGCGCCACCCAGGCGCCCCCAAGGTAGAATATTTAGAACACATTAAATGCCACAAGAGAAGCATAGCAGGTGAATGGACACACAAAATGTGGTATATCCACATAACGGAATATTATTCAGCCATAAAAAGAATGGCATTCTGATACATGCTACAACTTGAATGAATGCTAAGTGACATAAGCCAGATATGGAAGGTCAAATATTGTCTGATCCCACCTATATGAGGTACCTAGAAATGGCAAATTCAGAGACAGAAAACAGATTAGAAGTTACCAAGAGCTAGGGAGAGAGGGAAGCAGGAATTACTGCTTAGTGAATGCACAATTTCTATTTGGAGGGATGAAAAAGTTTGGAAATGAATAGTGATGATGGTAGCACATCACTGTGAATGTACTTAATGCCACTGAATTATAACTTAAAATTAGTTTAGATACACATTTTGTGTATTTTTTATTTCTATTTATTTTATTTATATCATACATGTTTTATACCTTTTTTTCTTTACCATTAGAAAACAAGAATTTCATGGCAGCTTTATTCATATTGTCCAAACCTGAAGAGTCCAGGTGTTCATCAACAGAAGAGTGGATGAGTGAAGTGTGATATATTCATACAATGCAATACTAAGCAATAAAATAGAACAAAACACTAATGATGAATCTCAAAATATGCTGAATGAAAGCAGCATAAGGTTTTTCTTCCCACAAAAGAATAAAAACCATATGATTCCACTTATATGAAGTAAAACAAGCAAAATTTCTCTATAGTTAAATAAATCAGAATAATGGTTGCCTATGAGAGTGTCCTGGGGGGAAGAAAATGACCAGGAAGGGAAATGAAAGAACTTTCCGGAGTGACAGAAATATTCTCTATTTTGATAGGTGCTTAGGTTACACAGGTAAATACATTTGTCAAAGCTCATTAAATGGTGGACTTATGGTACAACATTTCCCTTATGTTAATTAAAAAAAAAAAAAAAGAAGAACCACAAAGAACACTGAACTTTAGTCAATTATACAGGCTGAAGTATTTGGGAGTGAAGTACACTTATGTCTACAATCCACTTTACAACAAAAAACATGGATGGAGGGTTGTAATAGTTATTAAATGCAGATGGTAGGTGCATGGGTGTTTCAAATTTTCTGAATGTTTGAAAATATATGTTGGGAAAATATACATACCAACAAAACAGTTGTTTCTCTTCTTCTCAAGAACTTGGCTTATATTTCTAATACTACAGAGTGAGAATTTATTGTTGTTAAGTTTGTCCCCGGATGTTGCTCTTGCATACATGATGTAATTGCCATTTTCTTTTTGTCCTAAATTCTTAGATTCTCCTGGAGTGCACTCTGTTCCAGAATCATGCTGCCAAACAGAATATAGAGTTACATAAACAGGAAGTAAAATAAGGTTTTCGGGTCATCTGACTGAATGTAATTTTCTCACCAGAAGAACAATGGAAGCTTGTGGACTCTCCTGTAAAAAAAGATCCTACAATTGTTTTAGACTGTGAGAAGGAAAACAATTTGCTCTTTTAGGGGTCCTGTCTTAGAAGGGAAGGAAAAATGAGTGCAGGTCTAGCCACAACAATTTATAGCTCTGTAAATAGGGAGTAGAATGGAGGACAAACCATGATAAAGTCTATCAAAAATAAGCTCACCATGCACCACTATGTTTATCGCAGCATTATTTACAATAGCCAAATTATGGAAGCAACCCAAATGTCCACTGACAGATGAATGGATAAAGATGTTGTACATATATACAACGGAATATTATTTAGCAATAAAAAATGAAATCTTGCCATTTGCAACAACATGGATGAAGCTGGAGAGTATAATGCTAAGCGAAATAAGTCAGTCAGAGAAAGACAAATACCATATGAATTCACTCATGTGGAATTTAAGAAACAAAAGAAATGAACAAAGAGAGGAGGGAAAGAGAGAGAAAGTGAGAGACAAACCAAGAAACAGACTCTTAACTTCAGAGAACAAACTGATAGTTACCAGAGGGGAGGTGGGCACGGGGGTGTGGATGGAATAGGTGAAGGGGATTAAGAGTACACTTATCACAATGAACACTGAGTAGTGTATGGAATTGCTGAATCACTGTATTGTCCACCTGAAACTAATATAACAGTGTATGTTAACTCCACTGGAATTAAAATTAAAAACAATAAAAATGAAAAACAAATAAGCTTGCCTACTTTCAAAACTAGTAACAGGAATATAAACTTAAAATGACTATTCTTTAACATATATGACATTCTTTAACATATATGACATTCTTCACTATGACTAGTTCAGAGAAGACAGAGATGGGGAAAAACAGGAAACAAAAGAGAATGGCATGAGGCTAAGTACATACAAGATAGACATCTAAGAGAGTTGACTTATTAACTAAGTACATAAAAAAGATAAGTAAATGTTATTTTTTTTCAATGTTTATTTATTTTTGGGACAGAGAGAGACAGAGCATGAACGGGGGAGGGGCAGAGAGAGAGGGAGACACAGAATCGGAAACAGGCTCCAGGCTCTGAGCCATCAGCCCAGAGCCCGACGCGGGGCTCGAACTCACGGACCGCGAGATCGTGACCTGGCTGAAGTCGGACGCTCAACCGACTGCGCCACCCAGGCGCCCCAGTAAATGCTATTTTTAAATGAAAATTAAGAAAAGCTAAGAAATAAAACTAAAACACTGTTTTCAGAATAAAACAGGAGACATACATGTATATGTACACAAAATATTTATGGTGTTGGCAAATATTACTGAAGTATCAGATACATACAGAAAAGTGCAAAGTACCAACTATAGCTCCATGAGTTTTCTCAAAGTAAATATTCTTACGTGACCAGTGCTGAGATTAACTAACAGAATACTACCAGATCACAGAAGCTTCCCCCTCCTTCCTTCCTCCCCCAGGAGGTATACATTAAAAAAACAAACAAACAAACAAACCAGGGCACCTGGGGGGCTCAGTTGGTTAAGCATCGGACTTCAGCTCAGGGCATGATCTCACAGTTCATGAGTTCGAGCCCCGCATTAGGGCTCTGTGCTGAC